GATAATGTCTAAGTTCATTGAATTTGTAATATGTTTAGATTTAATAAATGTAATATAAGGTGAATGAATTATATATATATATTTGAATATTTATTTGATAAATATATATATATATATATTTATATTTATATGAAATATAAAATATAAAATATAATTATATATATATTCGAATATATATATATATAATATAATATGTATATGTGATATATATTATATTATATTATGTTAGTTTTAAATTTAATTTTATATGATAAATTAAATTTAATAACTAACATGATATGAGAGAATATCGTGTCAGTTTTATAATTTAAATTTATAAGATAAATTTAAATTAGATATCATATTATGGATTAAATTTATGAGATAAATTTAATTAAATTTTCGTGGGCTTTTAAGTAGAAGACGAAAATCCTTATTTATATACTATATATAGATAGAGATGTCCTTTATGAAGGATGAGAGAGTTACAAAAATTCTGAGGACAAAGACACTCTAAGAGCCACAAAACATTTTTGAAAGGAAAATTAACATTCAAAGAAGAACGGATGCTGAAAGTGCTAGCACACTGTTCGAGTTAGAGAGCTGTTTGTGTAGATATTGGTAGAGGGAGCAAATCTACGTTGTTAGTTTTTAAGATCCAAACTCTTGAAGAGAATGTGCACCAACATCAAAGAATTAAAGGTAACTCTTATGTTCACTTTGACTTAAACGAGTTCGTTCGGATCTATATCAGTATAGGAACTTTAAAATTTTAATATTCCTCTACGCCTCTTTATCCAACATGCAAGACGTAACAGTAAGCTATTTAGCAAACTATGACACTTGCTATAGATTTAGGTAAGGATAAAGTAGTTTTTGAATAAGATAGTTAGCTTCTTATCATCTATATTTCGCTCCAAGTGAACAAACTTGTATGATTGGAGGTGCTGGGGTATTATTTAGGCTATTTTAACCACAAGCGCATTAAAGATAGGGTTTTCCTTCTCTTTTACTCCTAAAAGGGGTAATCGTGTAGTTGATTCTTTGACAGTTAATGCTTGTAACGAAGTGTGTTATTTGAGATGGGTGTTTATATAACACCCTAAAATTTTCAAACCGATTTTTTATAAATTATTAGTTCAATAAAATTATTTTTTTACATCATTGAACCCTTATCATGATAGAAAAAATTTCTACCATAATAATAAATAACTAAACTTCTTTTCAAAACCCTACTATAGTAGAAAAAAGTTTATCATATAAATAAAACATTTTACAAATAGCCTACCAAAATAGAAAGAATTTAACATAATGAATAAGCTTTATCATGAGAATTGAAAATACATTTATAATAAAATTTTACCTAATGGAAAACAATGTAAAAACAATTCATATAAAAGAAAATGATAATTTTTAAATCAACATTTAGTGTAAAAGCCTATTTTAAGGTGGCAGAATCCCAAAACAATTCCTAAATACAATTTTTTTTATATTGTTATGTTAACCAAAAAAATAATAATTAGAACTATGAGGGACAGACAGGATCCTCATGACATGATATTCAAATCAGTGCAAGAATCAAGAGGGATAGACATGATCCTCTTGATCATAATAAAATAAATGCAGTTAATAAAAAAGATTAGAGTCTATATGCTTCACAAAATAAGATATATCCTAAGTTGACACTAGATACATTGTATGATCTAAAATAAGAGGCAACGTAAAAGATGATATCTCATACACCAAAATTATGTCTCTGGTGCTTTCTCGGCTGAACTCGCTCTTGTAAAAATATTAACCACGGGGAATGAGACTTAAAAGTCCCAATAACTAAAATTAATATGTAATGATGCATATAGATGTAATTAATCATGCGATTACTAAATAGACACACAAAAACATTTTACCGAACAGTATTTCCAATCAAACCAAACAAGTATTTAATTACATGATTATACCTTATATCCTCCTTTCACCGTGTCTGGATGCCAAATCACCCGATCAAAGGTGAGTTGGACCAAGCTACACGCCACTCATTGGGTCTAATGAGAGCTTACCACATGGTAATAATTAACCAAATAGAAATTCTCAATAATATCATATATTAAAATACCCTGATAAGTCATGCATCATTTAAATATACAAACAAGAATATAACCAAATAATAATATCTCATCATGATAAACAAAAACAAATTTTGACCCACCTGGCAATAATTCCAAACAAGTATGTAGCAGTATTTATTTTTAATAATTCATAATTCATAATTTTTTCAAACAACAAAATAACACATAACCAATCACATACATGCTCATCACAACACATTAATAATGATTACCTTGTGTCTTGAATAACAAATTTTCCTTCATAATTTCTCTTTCACCACTCTTTTTATCAATACAATCTACATAATTATTTCATAATATTATATATTAATTTTACATTAAAATTAATAAATGACTCTAATTTAAAGAGTTAGAAAGTCTTAGGTCTAAAATCCATATTAACACTAATTTAAGGTTTATGCCTCATTTAACTTTTCAAATTCTTTTTCTAAAATTATCATACCCTAGTAAACTATATTTAAACCTCAAATCACTTCTAGTATTATAATTTTATCCTTCTATATTTTAAAAATTTCGTCCAAAAATAAATTAAAAATTTTAGAATTACCCTGAAGCCTCAAATCACCATTCTGTAGCCTTAGAAATACATATTCATACTTAAATAAATATTTAATAATTAAAGGTTCAGCCCTACATCTCATATTCAACATAAATTCAACCGTATAGATCTAAAGTCTAACTCAAAAATTCTTTTACATGAGTTTCAACCTCAAGAAAATATTCTATAATATTTATTATATCTCTAAACTTCAACCTATATTTTTAATCCATCATATCATCAGATTAACTATCTTATAGAAAAATTCTAATTAAAATATTTGCTCTACTCTACAAAATAATCATATCATTAGAAAGCTAATATTATTTAGGAAATAACTACAAAATTAATTTTGTAACTAAGTAATTTTTTAAATGTTAATTTAAACAGGAAAGTTAGAGCATACATGAAGAAAAAGAAAATAAACCCCTTGCAAGGTAGAGCAACGTGAGAGGGAGAGAGAGATGAGAAAAAATAATATAAAAATGAAATTATGGGTCCCATAATTATATTAAAAAAAGACAATAGGTTTGAATTTAATAATTCAAACTCTTGAGCCATAAATTACAATTTCCTTCAAATTGTATCTTAGCCATTCATGTTTCATAACACACATACCCCCTCCTCTTATACATGAAGATATCTCTTCTTTTCTCACATCTAACCAATGTGGGACTTAAAAAATAACCTTTCATCTTTGTTTTTTTGTTCCTTCCACCTTTTTTTTACTAACACACAGATAAAAAATTATTTATATATTCTAAATCTTAAAATTATATCTTAACTAAATATTTTTATGTGGATTTAAATTTAAATTTTTTTAATTCATAATTAAATGTCTAACCATAACATTATTTTTGAATAACCTCAAATAATATAAATTCTTATTATTATCATTTTTTTATCCTCAATAAAATCTAATTTTATAATTTTTTTATTATTTAAAAATTAGAATGTTACAATTTACACCTATACTTTTGTGTTTTCTACCTTGTTTATTGATGGTGGATGTGCTAAATTCTAAAACCAATACTTCCTCTCCCAATAGTAGAATTGGCATTGGATGACTTCATAGTCGTTGGTTTTCTTTTGTAGCTTATTCTTTTCGCTCCTTTTGATTTTGTTTTGTATTGATGAACGTTGTTTTTTGCTGCATTGTTGATGGTTGTTGATTTACAGCCTGTTTGAATTTAAAGAAAAATTGATTTTTGAAAAAATTACCCAAATAACTAAAAAAATTAATAATTGATTATTGAGACAGAATCACATTTTGAAATAAGCTTTGAAAGATTATTTATAAATTCAATTTAACTGTTAAATAATATATTTTACTTTTTAAATAAAGTTTAACAAATTTAATAATATTAAATACAATTTTATCAATAATTTAATTTTAAAAAAATAATATTCTTTATGATAATTTATACAGCTAAAATTAATTTTTTAAAAAATAGTATTCAAATAAATTACGTTATAACATAATCAATTATAATTAAAATTAATTATTTTTATAATTAATTATATTCAATTAGAATGCAAACGACTCTTTGATAATAATGAAAGTGTATTTTGACTAACAAAACTTTTTTCACACATCAAATCTTTCCTTTTAAATTTTAAAATAAAATTAAAAATTAATTTATTTTTTTAACAACTTTATTATTCCAACTCACTAATTTTGATTATGGTGAGTTTATTAAAATTACTTTTTAAAAAGAAAAAAATAGGAGGAGGATGCTAGAATCAGACAAGGTGATCGAGGACTGCCGTCCAACTTCAATGAAGACACGGCTCGCATGACGTGCCTTTCATTTCCATATTTCTCCCTTTTCTGGGTCAAAGTCAATCTGTCAAAGGACATTGTTAATTTAATTGCGTTAAACTTGATGCAGACAGGCTGTTCGTTGTTGGACTGTTCCCCACGCAAATACTTGAATGATTACAAATTAATCTTTGGCATCTGAAAATTCCGAGAATATTCGATACGCGGAGCCTTTAATTATTTAATTATTATTTTTTTAACCATTTCTTCCCCAAAGTGGGTCCCACTAAATAAGTCCAAAAAATAGGCGGCCGCACACTTCCCAGTTCTCACCTTGGGCGGCGCATGCACATTGCTGACTTGTCGTCTACTTTTGAAAAACATTTCTTTATCTTAAAGTGCCATATTATTTAAATTTAAATTCTTTAATTATTTTAAATTAGTCAAATTAATTAATTAAATAATTATTAAAAAGAATATCAAGAAATAGATGTGAATAATTTCTTCAACTTTGTTGACTGTGATACTTGATAATTTATTAGATTGGATTATTAGATAGCATAAGATTGACCCGATGGTATAGGCAAGGCATATTCGCGATTGGCGGTCACATTTATAATCTGCCTCTCAATATTTTCTTCAGTTTGCTTCCTCAGCCTCCGTCTATCTTTCTTCTTCCCTCTCACCGGTCGGCGCTCGTCTGTTCTCTCTCTCTCTCTCAACCATGGGTGGTGGCTCTAAGTGGATCAGGCCTGAGGTATTTCTTCCTTCCTTTTCTTCTTCTAACTCTGCTTTTTCATGAATTGATCCGAGTATCAACACCATTATTGCTGCTGCAAACTCTAGATCTAATCTGAACAATTGTATTGAGATCTGATCTCTCCTCTCTCTGCTGTTCTTGAGGATAGATGTTTTGATTCGAATACTAATCTCAGACTATTCCGTAATCTCGCTTCCTCTTCTCTCGGTTTTGTTCTAAGAAGTTATTTATGATTGTTCATGAAGCAGACGGCTAATATTTGTTGATCTGACTTAGTGATGCAACAAGTGAACTGACAATCGACAGATCTACTGTTCTATTGCGATGCTTGTGTGTGCATCTGGTATTTCGTGATACTTGGAGATTTTTATATGTATATAAACGTGTCCTGTTTCTTTCATTGTGAACAGGTGTGGCCTCTTTTTGCTGCAGTAGGTGTCGCTGTTGGGATCTGCGGTATGCAACTGGTTAGGAATATCACCATCAATCCTGAAGTCAGGTATATTTATCTCTCGTAGTCTTAGGCTTCGACTGCTTGTAATTTATTGATATTTTTTGTCCGATACGTTTTCTTGTCACTATGCAATCACTATGAGGTCCTCTAGAAGCTACCTATCACTGTGTGATACCTCTTGGATCTTTTCCCAGATTATGTATAGAAACTTTGTTTCACTTCTATTTCCTAGCTGGCATAGAATCCAAAGAATGGGTCTATTCTAAATTGAATAGAATTGCAATTGAGTTTTAGGCAAAATATCAGTGAAAACAAAAGGGCGGGAGATTTTGGAGCAATTGTGGAGATGTTTGCCGGCAATAAGAAGTAATGTTGAATTTCAATTTGAATCTGATTTCAGGGTAACCAAAGAGAACAGAGCCGCAGGAGTGCTTGAGAACTACGCAGAGGGTGAGAAATATGCAGAACATGGCCTGAGGAAGTTTGTCCGCAACAAGGCCCCTCAAATCATGCCATCCATCAACAAGTTCTTCTCTGATCCAAACTGATTGTTGGATACACTTCCTAAAAAACTCCCTTCGGGTTACAAAATTGATCCAGGAGATTATTTTTTTGGTCTTTTTTGATTTTAAGAATTATGGAAAAGGACCATTGAATCATTAATTGTGATTATTTTTCTACAGATGAAATATTTCAGGGTTGTGTACTCCAATTTGCATCATGGTGGCAACCAACTGATTTGTTGAATAATAAATTGGTATACTTTGCATTAGCAAATATTAATCAGCGATACTCTTTATGTTTCTTTGAGCAAGCCTACTCCAAAAACATAATGGCAAAGTAGCAGGTTCTAGAAAATTATCTTTCTCCGGTCTACTTTTCGCTCGAACAATTTGATCTTTTCACTTTGACTAATCATCTTATTTGAACCGTAACAAAAACCTCATTTGAGTACAATACTGTTACAAAAAGTCTCTCTATCTCTCTGGTAAACAAAATATCTTATTTCATTCGAGTAATCTAGCTTATGGGGCAATGCAAAGGAAACCAGATCAACTCGTGGATGAATTGGTTAAGAAAGGCTTTCACTCACATGGAGAATTATACAGGTTATAACTAGTAATTTTGGTTAAGCTTGGTGAATCAATTCAAATAAACTTGAAAATATTTTGGATTAGGTTTTGGGAGTTTATTAAAAAATGTTACTTCAAACTTATTTGGGTTGTCCAAATATGTTCAAAGAAACTCGGGTCAAGCTTGAACACTCAAATATTTTTATTATTAATAAAATAAAGTTAAAATTATATTAAATTTTAAAAATTCTAAGATAAAAATTGAAATTGATTAAAACAAATAAAATAAAATAAAGTAATGTAATTATTTGGATATTCAAGCAAGCTAGAAAGCTTGCGATGTTAGGAAAAAGCTTAGCTACTTGAGTATTTTTATATATTTAGATTGGCCTCAATTAAATTTGACTCGAATAAGCCTGACTCATTGTCATTTTGCAATTAACATATTCAAATACATCCTAACATAATAAAGTTTAGATTTTTTTTAAACTTTTTTTCCCTTTAGAAATATGAATGGATTGTATTTTTATTCTAAGAAAAGAAGAGAAAAATAAAATAAGTGTAACAATGAAACTGGCTTTGAGGTTAGAGGAATATAGGCGAAGTTTAAGATGCCTAATCTGTTTAGATATTAAAGGGAAAAGAACATTAACCACAAAATGATAAAACTTTTGTTAATCAATTCAACAAATGACAGCGAGGATGAAAAACTCTTCTACGATAATTTAAAAAGAAAACAATATATTTGTTTTTAAAAGGTGCACCATTGAACTAACCCCAGACAGAGTGAAAGGGAGTAATACTCTAATAAATTCCTTATTTCTAATACATTGTGATACTGTTTATATAGATTTCAAGGTCACCATTTTACTAGTAATGACCACCAATAACAAACTAATTACCTTGACTAATCTAACATAATGGCTGAACAAATAAAACTTTGAATGTTTTTGCGATGTGAATAAACTGAATATAAAGCTATATACCGATCGAAGTTTCCGATTTGGTGGCTCCAATGGTGGCAAAATAGCTAAGTTAAAATATGAATGAATGAAACTAGAAATAAGCTTCCATGCTAACTTACTTCCACATGCCCTTTTGAAAGAAGTTGAGTGCTTGAAGCCAAGACCATCATTACTTCTTCCCCAAATGAAATTTCTATGTAATCTTTCAATTCCATTGCAAATGCTCCTAGGCACTTTAGCAACTTGTGTGGCATACACAGAAAAAGAGCTCAACACAAACCGTGCAAGAATTCTTATTCTTTATGAGAGGAAAACCAAGATATATAGGAACCTATCACATCACAGATTCTCATCCCCATAGCAGCTTTAATCTTTCCTCTTAAGCTCACAGAGAAATTTTTGAAGATGAAGCTGGATGATTTAGATCTGTTCACTTTTTTCCTTGAAGCAAAAGGGAACCTATTCAAGCATACCATCATTACATAAAACATAAGTTAAGTAGGTCCATTCTTTGTCACAAAAATAGGTTTCCATATGCTACTACTAGCTGGTGAAATCATCATTAGTTTTAGGCGCAAATTGAATAAATAAGAAAAAGAAGAGAAATTAGTTAGAATAGCTTCCAAGCCAAGATTATTGATTATTATTCAAAGATAGTTATTAGCCACAAATTTATACTTGGAGATCAAAACACTTATTTTTAGGGATAATACAGCTTTTAGTCCCTTACGTTTGGAGAGTTTTATTAATTTGGTCTATAGAATTTAATTTTTATCATTCCAGTCCTTAACATTTACTTTTGTTACCAACTTTAAATTTTACAAAAACCAATTAGTCCTCCAAAAAAGTTGATATGTTAATTAGACCGTTGACATGGTATTTTTAAATCATACAATGACATGTCAGTGATTAAGACTTTGCTATTTGTCTTATATTTTTTCAATTTATTCACGTTTAAATTCCACGTTAATAATATAATTTACACAAGTTTTTTTAAAGACTAATTTGTCTTGTAAAATTTAAAGGGCTAACTTGGTAACAAAAATAAATGTTAAGAATTGAAATGATTGAAATTAAAGTTGATGGACCAAATCGATAAAACTTCTAAATGTGATGAACTAAGAATTGTATTATCCTTTTACCCCTTAGAAATAGGGTGTTTGGCTAGTCATGCAATGTAATCAAGCATTGAGTGAGTAAATGGAGAAAGAAGAGAGAAGAGATGGCACGGGGGTGTAAAAATAGTAGAGGAGAGGGAAGGGAAGGAAGAAAAAGAAAAAGAGGGGAATGAAGTGTAACCTCCCAAAGGTTAAATCGTACTTTACTTCAAATTATAATAATCCAGGGTTTAATTTTCAAAGGATTACCAAGTTGTAAGGTTTTATAAAAGGAATTTCTCAAAATTCTTTCAAAGCAATCTCAATTTCAACAATTCAATTTCAATTATAATTTAATAAGCCTAAATCAGAGTTTTTTAAAAGTAAAGCGGAAGCTTGAAAATCAATTAGGACCCAAATAATGAGTTTTAAAATTTAGAAATAAATTCTGTACAGAAAATGACACATGTGCCGCAGCTTACGACTTGTGTGCCACAGCGTGTCTCCTCTGTGCCACATGTTGCGGCGCCTTGCACGAAATTTGACAGATCAATGCTGTCATTTGATAGCACGGGGAGCGAACTTCAGACACGTCTCAAATCTCTGTCCGACATTCGATTGAGGTAATTTAGGTGTCTATACGGAGCTTTCTCCTAATTCTAGCTAATGACACTAGTTTCACACTCAAACTCATTTTGTATAAAAAGTTAGACACCAAAACCCATTTTAACCACTTTTTCACAAAATCTCTCAAATAGGGTGTCCCAACTCTACCACACGTGCCAATAGTTTACACCAACCATCCGATTACACTTAATGGACTCTTGCAGACTCATGTAACGCACCATACACAATAAAAAATGCTTATATCATAAAATCACTATTCAACCCCAATTTTCATAAAACATAAAGGAGAAGAAAATGTTGCACAAAATCAACTATTTCATTTCAAATTTCTCAAAATACATATGTTTCTACTTACACAAATATTTTGGCCCTATCCACTGGCTCACAACCAAAACTCATTAACCTAGGGTATAAAATATACTAGTTATATACAAAATCATGCAAGTAGTGCATAAATCATGTCAATTAATCTTAGTTGGCAATTACATTAACAAATACACATAAAAATAATAAAAGAGAGGCATATAGAGGATTACTCTACAAATCCTAAGCCTCTGTATGTTTTTCTCGACTTAGATCCGATGAGCTAAGTCTTGAAAATATTGAAAATTGAAGGGTAAGTACAACCATTCAGTAACCAAGTTTTACTTAATTTATACAGTTGTATATTAATTGTAATAGATGCAATTAGGCAAATAAGCACATATATTACGTAACACTCGACCACGGTTCGCAAAACTAACAACCATGTGATCGGAATTGCTACAAAAACACTTTATCAAGTTATTTAGCAAAAAACATAATATAGGGTCGCAAAAATAACAACCATGCACTCTCAACACATGCTGGATCACAAAACTAACAACCATGTGGCCGGACTTATATACATAATCAAATGCCAACCTTATATCCTCCTGTTACCCCTGACACAAAACTGATGGCTATCACGTGGCTACGTTCTTCATAAACTAACCCAGCCTTTCACTTGTGAGGAGCTATCAGGTCAGGGTTGACTCACTCACTTATGTAATCTAGTTTCTCCCAATACTAACAACCATAGGGTGTCGTATCCCTAATCTAGCCTCCTCATGAATCGGTGGAGATTAGTTAGGTTTGAGTCCCTCATAAAACAAGTGGGACAGTTCTGAAACAACCATGGGACAAGGGCTACCTCTCGATTTTAACAGTTGGTGCCAAGGCTAGTTCCCGATTCCAACGGTCACTGTCAATACCATGTGGATTTGAACCAATCTACTTTTCTCCCTGGGTGAACTCTCGCCAATGATCATACTATGCACATTTCTCACATAATATGCATTTTAACAATCAATTCATAACACATGAGCTCACATAACTCAAATACTCCATAATTCAACACATAATTTTAGCACAATTCTCCACCCATAGTAATAAATCACAATCAATTTCAGAAAACACTAAGGGTGGCAAAATCAAGGTTTTCTTTCCAAAAACTATTTCACAAATCAAACACTTTGTCAATATGCATCATCAATTTAACTCATAAATCACATTTCAAAAATATAATTAACATTCAACTAGAGAGATTAGTTTTTCCCAGTTATCTCAAACTTTTGAGAGGTCAAAGGTTTACCCCTCACTATACCAACTTTCCAAAGCTTCAACAAGCTTGAATAGTGCCAAAAATGAACCTCACTATATCCATACCACAAGAATAATCATCATTATCTAACTTTTAAAGTTTTATCAACATAAAACTCCACACACTCTATTTTATCAACTCATAATCACTACCCATTTATACCCAATGGGGCTCATAGAATTCTATTAATGCAATTGCACATTATCAGTATAACATCTTAAACCATTATTAATGCACATTAACTTCTCCCAACTATCTCATAAATATCAATTTTCAGATAATAAATGCTCTCATAGGCCAACCACTTCTAAAATTATCAATGTGGTGTTCAAATATATTAAACAACTCCTATTATACTTATCTTACAATGGAATTAGACTCATACTCTTATGGACGCGAATCCATTTGCCAACTCAAACT